GGTTATTATTTTTTGCGACGTTCTTTGTTTACTTGTTTACGGTTTGATAGATTTCAGTTTATTTGATTTAACGTTTTTACGGTAGCTCTGAGCGGGACTCGAACCCACTGTCTTTTCAAGCTAAGTTTGTTTTATTTTGATGGCACGCTTGTGTACCACGCCACGACATTGGTCGTTAAGTGGTGTTCATTTTTTCTAACTACTCCAGTGTTCCGATGAGTTGAACGGAAAAGCCAAAACGATTGCTCGTTTCTGATTGCTTCGGTTCTGGTGAGTGTGTATCTAGTGTGATTCGAACCCATGTCGTTTGTATTGGGCGTTTTTTTATTTCCCATGTTGGCTACGCCGTAATATGCAACCACTTCCCCGTTTCATTGTGATTTTGAGTGTTTAATGATGTCTTCCTCACCCGTCACGCCATGACCCAGTTTCAACCACACAGCCATTTTGCAACACAGTTCGTGACCCTCGGCGTCACCCGACTGACTATATGAGCGTTCTGTTCAACTGTTAAGCTAGGATTTATTACCGTTATTATCATTATATTGTCACGTGATTTGTTTTACCTTATGTGTAATGTCTTTAGTATCTTTATTGTAATTTGTATATACCAATTCGTATATACCGAGCAAACGACCCCGATTGAAGGTCATGTATTTTATGACGTCACCAATTCGTGTGTAGGTACTGCTTCTAGATCTGTGCCATATACTGTACATGTATCTTATTTTTCTTCCATGATAAAAAGTAATAATACGACTGACAAAACCAGTGAGTGACTTACCTTCTGCTTTCTTTGTCTTGTCACTACCAGTTTCCAGTTCGACATCACTGTCAATTTCTGGCTCAGAGTCTCCCGCATAGCCTGCTAAGGCCATCATAGCAGTGGATGACTCGTTCCTATGCATGCCGCTCGAAGTCGCCATTGTTGTCAACAGTTTCAGAAAACGTTGTACACGTTCTCTTTACACTACGGTGCGATATAGTACTAACAATGAACTATAACCTCAGGTCAACATCATGGCACGGATATTAGGGTATCATACATGCAAAGACATTTACTTTACTTAATCCACAGTGAACTAAAATATAAAATAACGTCCAGATAGAAAACAAAACCATCAACTGGTTTCGCTCGTTTGTTATATATTTCCTCAACATTTGCGATAACTTTTATTAGTAATCGCCTGATTCAAACATTTTAAACTCAGAGTGTTCAAACCTAATGAAACATAATCTTATTTGAATATTTAACCAAATATTTAGTAAAATATATTTTACTGTGAAAGTAGTTAAATACGTTAATTAGAAAGATGAGTTCATTTTTATATTTGATTTGAATAGATAGGCTGGTAATTACAGAAATACTTACATAGTTTGTACACAAGAAAGGTTCAGGGGTCCGAACTTGAACATTTGCTGTTGAGAGGTTCAAATCTTACGAGTCAGAAACTTTATCCATCAGCGATATTGATGGTATTTATAACTGGTAAGTATGAGCATTTGGCTTAACTTTGGACTTCAGAATAAAATCATAGAAATGATCCAGTGCATGACAGTCATGCCATGTAGCGGTCGATCACAACATGACTGGTCATGTTGCTGCTCTCTGACATTTGTACAAAGAATTGACATTTCGTATTATTATTTATCTTATGGCGGTTTGCTCGATAAATTTGAAAAAGGTACTTTGCATTGGCACCAGTAAGAATGATTGTCTGAAAAAATTCCATAATGCATAAAATGGACTTTGAGGCTAAGCTCAAAATTACAAAAAACAAATCTAGCTCGGCTGTCACGAACATTTACAATGTAGGTGATCATGCACATCTCTGGTCCCTCAGGTAGCCCAGCTGGGCAATTTCATTTTTTCATGGTAATTCTTTGTTCAATACGAAATCACAAATTATCACAACTGGTCCTATTATCATGATGTGCACTAATGTACGTTGTAGAACCCTCGCTTTGAAACAATCCCCACAAAAATATAAGAAGAATTGCACTTGTGTGAGGGATTCTATATGTCAGGGTTGCATCACGGTTACTAGTAACCGTGGTTGCATAGAACAGGTCAGATCAAAAACTGCCTTTTCATTGGTTGGCTGCTTACAATCACACTTCTGCATACACGAAAATGTATTGATAACTACATATTACTATAAACACAACTATATATCTTAAATTTTATAACTAACAGAGACAGTGTCATGCATGACTTGTTATGTCATGATATATATAAGATCAAGTATCTTGAATTTATTTTTACAAAATGACCAAGATTAGCCAATTGTGATGAATACAATGATCATGGTCACAACAAATGTTATAAACCACTTGTATCACTTGGTTAAGATTTCTTTTGTTCAAAGAATTAAAGTATACATTTTTACTCCACAAAAACATGTTTTTCGTCACATTTAACATTTGTTCAGCACAAAGGTGTTCCTAAAATGCTACTTTGCTGTGTTAATTATTCACTTTTAATGAATAAACTTGTAATAAATATCCTCCCAAAAAAATTATTTGAAAAAGTTTTAGGAAAGAATGGTTTTAGTCCTTCACTGATGGCACTGTTCATATCCTGTAATGACTTTTTCATTTCAAAATACTGTTGCAATGTTTAAAACAGTTGCTGCTTAAAGAAAAATAATTAAAGAATGTTGTGTATCCCTTTTTATACTATCAGGGGACAGACTCTTCTTGTAACCACAATGAAAATATTTGGTTCAACTATATGTGAATAAATTTGGGATCATTATGCAAGAGGTGCCAGTGAAAGTAGTAGTTCGGGTAAGTGTTTATTTATTTATAGAAGCGATTGAGTTAATAGATATACTGGACTAGACTAACTTTTTTAAATAAACTAATCATGAAAACTGATACCTGTATCTCTCTAGCATGGTTTGTTTTGACTTTAGAACTTTCAAATCTCAACACGATTGAGTTAATAGATATAATGGACTAGACTAACTTTTTTTAAATAAACTAATCATGAAAACTGATACCTGTATCTCTCTAGCATGGTTTGTTTTGACTTTGGAACTTTCAAATCTCAACATGGCTCCTGCATGCAACTATTTTTACCAAGGGTGTTGGGTGGTGTCTCTGGGATGCTTTTCTTTTTTTTTTTTGGTAAAATTGCAAAGACTGTATCATGACTTTCATCACCATTGGCAGCAAGTTGGGTATAATCCACACTGAAACTAGCTCTGATTTCAGTCACAGTCCCTCTAGTTCAGTCAATCAACATTTTTTGTGTTGATTGCATTGCTTCTTTCCCTAGCCATGGTAAAAAAAGACTAAAAAAAAAAAACACCTCATTTTCAAATCCCAATGATATGAGAAATAATTTTTTTGTGGAATTATTACATAATGATAGACACAGTTAATATATAATAGTTTTATTACTTGCTTTGATGTGTTTTAGGTAAGACCTTTAGTCCCGAAAGAGAAACTACACAACCACCAAGTGTGTGTCAAAGTATTATCAAGCAGTAATCAAATCATCATTGGCAAAGACAGAGTGTTCACATTTGATAATGTATTATCTGCCAAGTCAACACAGGTATTGTTCTCTCCAACTGAAATGTCTTAGCATGGTGGCTAATTTGCATATGTATGTAATTTGCGGTATGTATGTAATTTTCAGTATGTAGCAATAAAAATAACATTAAGGGAAATCAGTGAAAACTCTATTTGTGCACTCAAATTTACATATTCATTTATTTTACAGTGAAATTAAGTATCTGTATTCAGATTTGTGCTTTGGTTAATATATATAAATACATAATGTGCATTTTAGGTATATTGAGATTTAGAATTTTTGAATGTTGTGTACAAA